GGCATTACCTTGGCCTCCAGTAACGCTGTGAGGAACCTTGGAGTCATTTTTGACCAGGACATGTCCTTCAACGCACATATTAAACAAATATGTAAGACTGCTTTCTTCCATTTGTGCAACATCTCTAAAGTTAGAAATATCCTGTCTCAGAGTGACGCTGAAAAACTAGTTCATGCATTTATTGGGGTGGCTGTAGCTCAGGTGGCAGAGCAGGTCAGCCACTAATCAGAAGGTCGGTGGTTCGATCCCATTTGCATGCCAAATATCCTTGGGCAAGATACTAACCCCGTGTTTGCCTACTGGTGGTGGTCAGAGGGCCCGGTGGCGCCAGTGTCCGGCAGCCTCGCCTCTGTCAGTGCGCCCCAGGGCAGCTGTGGCTACAATGTAGCTGCCATCACCAGTGTGTGAATGTGTGTGTGAATGACTGAATGTAGTGTGAAGTGCTTTGGGGTCCTATGGACTAGAAAAGCGCTATACAAATGCAGGCCATTTATTACTTCCAGGCTGGATGACTGTAATTCATTATTATCAGGAAGTCCTAAAAACTCCCTGAAAAGCCTTCAGCTGATCCAAAATGCTGCAGCAAGAGTCCTGACAGGGACTAGAAAGAGAGAGCAGATTTCTCCTGTTTTGGCTTCCTGTTAAATCCAGAATTCAAAATCCTGCTCCTCACATACAAGGTCTTAAATAATCAGGCCCCATCTTATCTTAATGACCTTGTAGTACCATATCACCCTATTAGAGCACTTCGCTCTCGCTCTGCAGGCCTACTTGTTGTTCCTAGAGTATTTAAAAGTAGAATGGGAGGCAGAGCCTTCAGTTTTCAGGCCCCTCTTCTGTGGAACCAGCTTCCAGGTTTCTTCCTGTTAAAAGGGAGTTTTTCCTTCCCACTGTCGCCAAACTGCTGCTCATAGGGGTCATATGATTGTTAGATTTTTCTCTGTATCTACTGTACAATATAAAGCACCTTGAGGCGACTTTTGTTGTGATTTGGCGCTATATAAATAAAATTGAATTGAATTGAATAGAATTGCTCAGAAATTACTGCTCAGAAAAATTAAAGATTAGAGTAAAGCATCAAGTCAATTAAACTTGGATTATTGATCTTCTCATTTAAGCAGAGAGGGTTGTTAATCAGTTTCAGCCTCTTTGGTGTGAATGAAAGTAACAAGACGTTTTCTAGAAGGGCAACAAAGTGTCACGACGAGCTACGCCGATGTGTTTGCTAAACGTACACACTGCAGGAGACAGAACTCAACTTGAACCAAAAACGAGCCTTTATTTAGGCTGATGGCAGAAGCAAACATGAAAACTAAGGCGACAAAAGAGAAACTGGCTATGAAAACTGTGATGGCGTGGCAAAACAGACGACCTGACAACGAGTGAATGGAAACACACTCCTGAACTAGGAAACACTGAGAAAATCTAGTCCCATAGATTAGATCTCTTTATGTAGTCACCCCTGTGTTAAGTGTTCCCTGTTGGTTTGTGTCCCCATGTTTCCTGTTTTATTTTGAAAGGTCTCGTGTTTAGTGTTACTCTCCCCCTTGTTGTCGATATGTTTCATTCTATTCAGCTGTTTTCCTCATGTGTCTCCACTTCCCCTGATCACCTCATGTGTGTATTTAAGTCCTCCGTCTTCCCGTGTTCAGCGTCGGGTTGTCTGTGTATCTCCTCTCATGTTACGTCAGGTTTCAGGACTCCGTGCTGCTCATGTTCATGTTGCTTATTCGTGTATACGTTTCATAGTTCTTTCATGTTCCGGCACAGAGTCCTGCTCATAGTCGTCACAGTCACCTTGTAATTTCCTTCCTAGTCTGCTTTAGAATCAGAATCAGAATACTTTATTAATCTCGAGGAGAAATTTAGACTGTGGCTACATTGTGAATGTCAATCCACAACCAATTAGTATGTTGGTGCTTCTGTCAGATCCACCCTTTTCTTTTCACTTCTGGATTCAAAACAGCACCTGAACAGACGTCACTAGTCATTTAACTATGTCATCGTCTGGCCAAACTTCAACTTTATCTGCAACTCACCTTGAGAAACAGTCGGCGTTGCTCAGCACTGAGTCCAAGGCCACAAGAGTCCCACCACACACATGACTTCCATTCTTCTGCAGACTCGCCATCCACGGCCACGAGCCGGCTGTCGCCATCGAGGTTCCACCCAAAATGCCAGAATTCTTCGGAGCTTGTCCACAGAACACCGCTGAGGAGAAAAACCAGAGGTAGACGCAAAGAAATGTTAAAATTTTTAACCATCAGTTCAGTTCAGGTGGTTCATCTTAAAGAATCATAGCATCACAGATCAGGGAAGTTTAAACAGAAAGGAAAAAAAATGAGAAGCGCACGGGTGATGTCGCAATCATCAAAACTGTTACGACTTGGCCAATACAGAAGCTGTGAATGATTTCCGAGATCCGGGGGAAGACAGAGACGTGGAGAGCTGCCTTCTGTTTGTGGGAGAAAGTGGCCCTCAGGTGGGCCTGCCCGTGTAAGATGGCATACACGGGACAAGTGAAAGCAAATTCTGTGATTCCAGGGACACAGACTTCAGCCTTTAACACAGTCATCTCACTGTAGCTGATGGTGAAGCTCTCTGCTCGGGCTGAACACTTCACTCTGTAACTGAATTGTGGACTTCTTATAAGGAAGGTGACAGATGGTACATATTAGCAGTATTCTGCACTATCAAACTGCATCAAACGGTCCACTGCTCTTTACTCTGCTGACATGACTAAACTGCAAATGTCAGCTTGAAGCAGCTCATCGGGTTTATGATGATACAACATTAGTGGGGTTCATTAACAACAGAGCTAAGACATCTTGCAGAGCAGAAGTGCAACTTTTAGTGAGCCGGTGTAGAGACACCAACCTGTCCCTTAACATCAACAGGAGGAAGGAGTTGACTGTGGACTTGAAAAAGGCCGAAACCAAACATCAGTAGAGAGATGTCTCTACTGAGACAAGATTCTACTGAAGAGCTCTCCTGGACTCCTGGAACTTCATACACCTGGCAGAGAAGGCTCAAAACATAAAGCTTTCAACCTTAGGAGGTTGAAGTGAGTGTGGAACTCTTCCTCATCCTCACCACCTTTTACTGAAGCACTATTAAGAGCATCCTGACAAGCTTGACAAGCCTGACATCACACCTTATTTTTCACTACAGCTGTAATTACAAAGAAATTGAACTTGAAAATAGAAATGAGTAAAACTCAGTAACAGTCGATCACACTGCAATCAGTCCATTTTTAACTTTTTAGGTGGTTTTAGGATTGGTGTTTGACCTACGTTTGCTGGTGGTGGTGGTAGGGGTGGTGGTCGGCACTGGTGGCAGCAGTGTGGTAGGGGGACACGGGCGGTTGCCCGGGGCGGCATCGTGGTGGGGGGCGGCATCATGGACATCGGCAAAAAAAATAAATAAATTGCTCGTACTCATGCTGCCCCGACGTCAGCCAGCGCATATTGGCAATGGTACAGGCATCGGTTTTCTATCGCCCATTTGCTGGGAGTAAGGGCGCCCTCCGTTTGCGAGGTGCGCCTGCTGCTCAGGGAGGAGAGGGCTGGCTGGAGCAGCATCTAATAACCAACTCACAAAATAAAACAAAATAAAAGCAAAAGAACAAACACGAAAACACCAGACATCATGAT